GGATATATAAAGTTATATTGACTGAGTGGGCAATCCCGGATAACTGCTAGGATACCTATATATATATATATATATATATTTACAGTATATAATTGAGCTCTAGTCGTATATAGGTTTAGTATACATACTTTAGAAGAACACAGCCAGTGCCAATAGGGGGTGCAGTCCAAAACACCTGGATACTGGTACGCCTGCGAGGAGTGCTCTCTGTCACTGCTGGGGGGCAGTTAGTCAAAAACTGTGTTTCTTCCTCATCAATGATCTGTAAAACAAGTATATATAAAGTTACAAAGACACAGTGATCAATACTGTATAAAAGCTAGGAGAAAATATCTTAGCAACACTGACACATAGCTTTGTATTTGGTAATTATTATCCTGTCATTCTCCACCATTGCTGGATAAATCTTCCAGTTTAACTTTGCAACCCATACTAGTCACAGATGTTCCTGCACACTATACAGGCCACTATGGCTGGAGTGTCTATGTATACTTTGACTGCCTCCATCTTCAGCCTTGCTATTATGTGTGCAGGACATCAGTGAGTAGTCTGCATCTTGAGTCCTATCCAGTGAGGTACACTTGGGCCTCTATTGTCCTGATGCATGCACAATAATCCAGACAGATAAATCTAACAAGGCTGAGTCAGGTCCTCTGGACAGGTTCTTCTATGATTCTTCAACAAAGAAGAACCTGTCCAGTTGACTTGATTCAACCTTGTTTCGTTTGGCCTCTAATACTCTTGTGCGTAATGCTTATTCTTGTGTTGCTATTTTAAGTGCTTCTATGGTGTCTTTTAGTGCAGCCTTCTCTATCTACTGTTTGAACTTCATCATATAAGAATTAAACAATCTGGAGTGCAGAGGCTTGACATTTGGTGACATTTCTTTCCCTTTCATATTAACTGTATACAACCTAAGGCATTCATATTATCACTTAAGGCCATCTTTGTTCTTCTTATTTCGGCTGCTCCTTTCTTCAGGGTTGCCACAGTGAATTAAGTCGCACGAAGACTTGGCAATTGTTTTTACACCAGATGCTCTTCCTGACGCAAACACAGACCACTGAACTACCACAGCCCTCTGTGTGGAGCAAAGAGCTGCTATCTAGGGCACCTGGGGGAGCAGATGGTGGAGGTTGAAGACCTTTCTCAAGGACCCAGAGTGAGGCAAATGAGGGTGGAGGCACATGTGGGTGTTTTACCTTTTCCACCCACATTTTGATGTTGTCGGTACTGGGAGTTGAACCAGTGATCTTCTGATCTCTAACCTCTGCGCCACCACTCCCAATAAGGCCATCTAAGGCCATTTTTAAGATGATACATATTTTCATAAATTGTTCTGTGCATGCTTTGCTTTAAGAACAGGGATCTCCATGCCATTGGTTTATTTTTTTTTGTAGCACATCCCTTGCGTGTTTATTCATATAAAGTTTGAAAAACTTTGAGGTTTAGTCAACAAATGAAAAAACAGCTTTGAGCATCTAAATGCTTTGGCCATTTTGTTTTCTTATTTCAGTTTTTCACCTGCTGAACACAGTGTTACAGCTCTAGGTTGACTGCACTGAAATCTCTCCCTGGCATAACTCCATTAGCCAATTTATAACACTTCAGAAGTGGACAAGGGTCAAAATGAGCAATGCATCAAACTGCACGGCACCCCCAATCTGCGATGTACTTCATGACCTAAACACTTACACAGCCAGCATTA